GAGGGCTGACTATGGAAAAATAGGAGAGGTGAAACAAAAAGAAGCCGAAACAGCTTCTGATTTTCTGGACCACCTGCGTCCAGTTTTTAGACAGCATTCGGGATTAAATTATGAAGAGGGCCCAGAGACCCCATATCAACAACAACTAAAGAATGCCTTTTTAAATGGCCTCCTACCACCAGTGAAATCACATGTAGAAAAACACTGGGTGACCATGAACACAGGATCACTGCCCGATGCACTGCAATATGCAGAACATGCCTTCCGTATTATAAAAAAGAAAAATGAGAATGTAGGCACTTTCACAGTAGATCCAGAGACAGGATTTATTGCATTTTCGGGAGGACAGATGCAAGGACGTAGGAGAGGAAATAGAGGAAGGGACAATGTTAAACTAGTAGCTCAGTAATTGTGTGTTGGCCCAGTTTTCAGCTAAATAAATTAAGTATTGTATTTTTACTATGCAAACTGAATCAATGTCATATCTAGTTTTCAGTCTTTTTCACAATCCTGCCTTCATTATAATTTTACCAAATCAAATATTTCATGACTTAACTAAGGCAATGCAATTAAAGTGAAATTAGATAATGAAATAAATGAAAACACACAATAATCAAAATACACATGTTGGAAAAATGAATCAAATTCTGCCCAGCAACCTGACATACCAGTGGCAGGAAGCGGGAGTCTTTTGTTCAAGACAATGAGTCAAATATAGGATGCATGGCACTGTATGCTGGTGCCTGCAGTGATGGCACCCTCTGCAGGCACCGATGCTCTACAAAAGGGGTGTCGAACTCCAGGCCTCGAGAGCCGGTGTCCTGCAAGTTTTAGATCTCACCCTGGGTCAAAAGACCTGAATCAAATGATTAGTTCATTACCAGGCCTCTGGAGAACTTGTTGAGGAGGTAATTTTGCCATTTAAATCAGCTGTGATGGATCAAGGACACATCTTAAAACCTGCTGGACACCGGGCCTCGAGGTCTGGAGTTTGACACCTGTGCTCTACAAGAATTGTCACTGCTGGATCCATGCTGCAAACCTCAAACCCCATGCTCTGAATCTGATCCAAACAAGTTCAGACTGAGCTCACCTAAACTGCCCTCTGATCACTCAGCATTCCCATGACCTCCAGGGGCTGGGCCTGTGTGTGAATAGTCTCAGTAGGCCAGAGTCTGATTGGCTGTTATCTAAACAAGTTATGTCTGTGTTGTTAATGTTTTAATATTGGTTTGACAATAACCATAAGGTCTGTTGAAACACAAGTGTAAGGCAGACTACTCTTGTTTCTAGGTCAGCATGGCTGCAGTTGAAGATTTTTTAGTACATATTCCGACTGTAACATCTCTGCTCATCACAGTTGTGATCCTACTTGCTTTCTATCTAATCTGCACCAAACTTGCTTCTGGGAGAAACTACCCTCCAGGTCCCACGCCACTGCCGCTGTTTGGCAATTTGCTACAGTTGAATCGTCAGCCGCTTCACATTGCGCTCTATGAGGTATGCACAAAATCAAATACAGTGCTTGACAAAATTATTAAGCCACCATACAATGTAAAGATTATACTTCAACTGCTCTAAAATAACAGTATTGGCTATTACCAAAATCTTTGAATCTTGAATGGTTTTGTAATTAAACTGACATTCCATGCTAAACTATAATTTATTATATATTTTTTAAAGCAGATGCTAATTTACGATTATTTACTTAAATTCCTGAACAAAACAATGTTTGTGCGGTTGAAAGTTCTCTTTGAACAATTTCTGACTTCTCCGAGGAGTCCAGTCTGCCCGCTCAAATTTAGGTATAAAAATATGAATTGAATTTGCCTAAAAATAACAATTGAATTCTAAGTTTTAAACAAGTTTTTGACAGACTTCTAAAATTAAAAAAAATTCACGACATAAAGTTTTTTTTGTTTGACGCAGTGTTTGTTGGCAAAGGCAAGCAGATTTATTATTCAATGCTACAATTTATTTCCACTCAGATGTGGAGAAACTTAAAAACTTTTGTCTCCTTGTGTTTTACTCACTTCAGCTGTCCAAGAAGTATGGCCCAGTATTCACTGTCCATTTGGGGCCCAAAAAGACAGTGGTGCTGGCAGGTTACAAGACGATCAAGCAAGCTCTGCTGAATGTTGATGCCTTTTCAGACAAAGAAATACTTCCAATTATTAGTGACTTAAAATTAACTCATGGTGGGTGGAAAAAATATTTTTCTGCATGTTTATATTGAGGTTTCTTTTTAATATTTTCTTTTCTTCTGGTACTTAAAATTCTCAAGGAATTGTTTTTGCCAGTGGAGATTCATGGAGAGAGATGAGGCATTTTGCATTAACAAACTTAAAAGAGTTTGGAATGGGAAAGACGGCAATCGAAGAAAAAATCATAGAGGAATCTGAGTGCCTGATTGAAGTATTTGAAGAAAAAAAAGGTAACACACCTTTTGACACATTAACTTTTGCTAATAGTTCTCAGTTTTTACAAATCGGTCTTAAATTTGTATTCATTCATTTAAAATTATTGTAACTCCGAAATGACAACACAGGCACGGCTTCTTCAAGACGGGCGCTTCGCTGCATTTATTGAACGCCGTGAAAAAACACAAAGGCTTTAAGCGCTTCAGTCTATCAAAAGTAACACTTGTGTTTTAACAACAAAAAAAATTACCTCGTGGCCACCTGCCACTTCTACGGAAGACGATTAGGGCCACTGGAAAAAAATCTGAAAACAAAGAATTCTGAAAACAAATAAGTTTGATGAAAAAGTCAGAATTCTGACTTTAATCTCAGAATTCAGGAAAAGAAGAAAAAAAAAAAGACGTGCCCACTTTTGTTTTTTCCCAGTGGCCCTAATCCTCTTCCGTAAACTTCGGAGGCCCCAGAACATTAACTTTACCGTCCTGTGCATTCTAAATAAAAACATAAAATAATTAGAACACCATACATTACAAATTTTCACAATATTACAATACAATTATATCAAATATCTTGAACAGCTGGTAGACTAACCAGGCTTTTGCAGATAGCTCGCTGAACTCCTATACAGCCTATATTATCACGCCCAAAACCTCGCGATAATAGCGTTGTAACAAAAACTTGTTCTTTGTGACAAGATAAACATGTCTCTTGTACAAGAAAACACACCTTTACAATATTGTCCACAGAAATGCACAAGCAAGAACATTTTAACTGCTGGAACCATCTATTAAACTTCTTTATACATAAGCCATTTCTGTGACACTAGCAATTATCAACACATTGCAGCTACAGGAACAGCTTGGCCATTGAAACTCATGCCATGAAACTCCCAGCGGACACTTTTGTGCTGGTGTTAATGCCGTTATGAGGTTTGGAACTCTGTACTTATTGAGTCAGCACAGGACAATAACTAGCATTTTTAATGATTTTTACGTACTATGTAACTCAGCACTCGCATTGTGCAACCACATTCTGTAACATTCCCCGATGACCCTTCCCTTTATGCAATACCCGACACTGGGTAACAGAGGCACCAGATCCCGATTTATTTAACTAGATTTTCTCAGGCAAATTAGTCATTAAACAGGGATGTTGGTGCACATTTTGCTCTTCAAACTTGTACACTTTAACTTATTTGAACAGGTTGTTGGCTTTAAATTCAAGACAAATATGTTTATAAACAACATCAAACAATTTCTTAGGTTAATATATTTTGTTTATACAGTTTAATGAAATGTGATTTGTAATTCACAGCAATTAAGATTGTGTGACTGAATGACTGCAAATTCTCATTGTCCCAAGAAGGTTGCATAGTCCAAGAACAGGAAGTCAAGGTACAGGTATGAGGTGTGAGAGCCACTCTCCCGATTACAACTCGGTGTAATTGTCATGGTCCTAGGTCGTTCATGGATTATTTTTTTTCATGTTTGCGCCGTCCCTTAAGTTCTGTTTCTCAATAATGATCCTCAGGGTGATTCTGAGTTTATAATTACATTTTTCGCACTTTGTACAACAAAAGGAGTGTGGGGAAAAAACCCAACAAAGGTCCCATGGCTCCTGGCTTATCCTCGGTTCACTGCAACCGGGTGGCGCTGTCACTTGGTGTTCGCTCGCTCTGTGGTATAGTATC